TTTATATTAGATAGACATAAGGGGTTGGTTGAAACATTTGCAGAGTTATACCCTATTGCAGATCACAGATACTGCCTAAGATATATGTCTAATAACTTCAAGACAAAATACAGTGGTTGTGTGTTTAAAGACCTGTTTTGGAAAGCTGCATCAACTGGAAATGTATATGAATTCAATTACTGGATGAAGAAGATTGAAGAAGTTGATCCTAAGACTGGAAATAGGAAAACAACTATGGAGTGGTTGAGGGAGACTGACCCTGCTTTGTGGGCAAGGTCACATTTTTCTCCAATGAGCAAATGTGACATCCTTGTCAACAATTTGAGTGAGTCATTCAATTCTTACATTGTACAAACTAGAGAGCTACCAATCATCTCCATGTTTGAATGGATCAGAATGAAATTGATGTAACGGATCCAAGTTAAAAAGATTGGAATGGAAAAATACACTGGTCAGATTTATCCCAATATTCATGACAAACTTGAGAAGTTGAAGGTGGAATCAAGGAACTGCTTTGCAACCTGGTGTAGAAAACTGGAATTAGAGGTTGATCATTTTTAGAGGAGGTACATAGTGGACCTAAGTAAAAGGATATGTAGTTGCAAAAGATGGGATTTGTCTAGTTTGCCTTGAAGCCATGCCATCAGTGCCATTCAAATCAATCATGAGCAGTTAGAAGATTATGTGCATGAGTACTACACCAAGTCTAGGTACTTGGATACTTATGCATTCATGATACACCCTATTCCAGACATGCATGAGTATAAGGAAGGTGACCAGAAGTTGAATCCACCAGAAGCAAAGAAATTAGCAAGAAGACCAAAGAAGTTAAGAAATAAACAAGCAGACGAGCCAAGAAATCCACACAAGGCATCAAGGAAGAACATCAATGTGACATATGCTAAGGGTCTGCAAAAGGGGCACAATCAGAGATCATACAAGAATAGACTGCATTCTAAATCCAAAATGGTGAAGGTTAGTGTATACTTATGCATTCATTTATTGTACACATGTTGTTATTAGGTTTGTTTGTGCTAATAACTTAAGTTATTTGTTACATGAGAGATCTACTAGGGGGCAATCATCTTTATCTCAACCTGCATCAACTTCTATTTTTACTCCAACAACAAACATTCCATCCAATGAGATAACATGACAGAAGTTAACTTTTAATGTTAACTTGTAACTTCAATGTAGGGTTTACTTCATCTTAGGCCTAACTTAAAGTCAAATTAATTTGTACCAGAGGTGTACTAGGGTGCCCAATTTGTGAATGTTCCTAACTGTAATTTTTTTTTGCCTCAGATGTCCAGTGGGAGGCAAACCAGAAAAGGAGGCCAATTAGCATCTCAGCCACCAGCGACAGGTGCTTCTATTGGACTGAAGAGGAGGAATACAAGGTCTTCCACTCAGGTAACTAACTTGTTTATAACTCTAACTTTTTTTATTTTTTATTTTGTAAGTTTGTTAATTGAAAATGTTGTTGCAACCCATAAAACTATCAACCCATGGCGGACAGGCATCAAGTGGTCTTGCCAAAGGACCTGAAGTCACAGTTGGTGGGAGGGGTAAATGACCAATTAATGGAACTGCAGTCGATATTGGAAGAAGTGGAGTGAATGCTAGATTGAATACTGATGTGAAAGGGCATACTGTATCTATAACTTTTGCACCTGAGACAATCAGAGCAAGGAGGTAGGCAAAAAAACTGGCTAGTGGGTCAAAATAGAGCATAAGGTGACCTATTGTTCTTATTTTGTTTTTGTATTGAAACAATATTGTAGGGTCTGTTTGTATTTAATCTAAGGAAGGGTAGACACACATTTAGAGTTATGGTTTTTGAAAAATTGGTTCAATTATTGTGCAAACTGTTGATGTGTTTTTTTGTGGCTTTTTAGCATATTAGATTAATTGGCAATTGTGGTATTGAAATGCAGCATAATTCTGTAAATAGATTACTGTTGGGCCATTGTAATCCAGATGTATAGACCATTTTGGCATTGTAATGCAGATTTTTGAGAAGTATTGTTTTTGGCCTTGGAAAAATATCACTGTTTTGATTTTTTGGTTCATTGTTGAAAAGCATTGTCATTGCAAATTTGTTCTTGTCATTTTTGTTCCATTGGTTGGAATGAATTGTTTGTTTTGCAATTAAACTCAACATGGTTTGCTTGTGTTAGAATAAGTTTGAATGAATTTTCATGTTGGTTCTATTTTTTGCATTGGAATACAGTAAAAACAATTCAGAATTATTTATTTATTTATTTTTAATTAAACTCAGTAAGGTTCTATTTTTTGCATTGTTTGCATTGGCATGCAGTAAAATTAAAAAAAAAAAGATACAAAAATCACTAATTTCATTAACATAATTTTATTGATTTCAAACATACATCCAGTACGTAAGGCACCTTACAAATTCATTTCACACTGAACATTAACATAGTGCTAATGCAACACAACCAAAACCACCATAGATGCCTTCATCAACATGTTCAGTGCCTCCATCTTCATTTCTAGCTTCATGAGTCTTCCATTAAAGTGCACACCTTCCTCAACTCTTAATTTCTCACCATCAATCTCATCTCTTCCATAAGTGGGAGCAAATCCAAATGGGTTGCACCAAGTCCAAAAATCACGACGTTCCAAACCTGCCTTTTCACACACATAGTGCCTTTCGAATGCTTTTCGAACTCTACGATTCTAATGGTTGCTTTTTTTCCACAACGACATTTCTTGCTAATGAACCTCAACATTTGTCCTTCTCCACCGCCCATGCTTGAAGAGGACATTTTTACTGGCCTACAACTCAAACATACAGAGGAAAGAGAGAGTATACAAAGCATTTTGGTCTTTTAATTATGAGGGATCATCATCAGTTCATGCCCAATTGCACATTACTCGTGTGTACTGCACGGCTTGTTAGAATATATGGAAATGCTAATTGTACACATCAACCCATTAACCGCAGGAGGGTTATGTGGTGATATTCGAATGTCAGGGGGATAATCCGTACCCGCCCCAAACCATAGGAGGGTAAAGTGAAATTTGCCCAATAAAATAAATGACATTTGTGCGATGTACTCTAATCTTGATATAATATAATTTCAAGAGATTTGGCTTGGTGGGAGACAAGGTAACTAAAGGACTTATCGCCACTGAAAGTTTGTCTTATCGTTAACTTCAGAATTCCTAAATTAGTTGAGGTGTGCGTAAACTAATCTGGACACTTAGTTATTAAAAAAAAAAAAATCTTGATGTAATATAATTAAGTTGAATAAAGCATTTTGAGAGTTAAGCATTCTTCTTTCATCTCTTAATCTCTATAACATGTCAGAAATCAATTAATGTCCAATTTATATCTTACGTGTTATCAATACACGCTTACATACTAGTACACATAACCGTAGGCACTCTTAGACATCATTGAGTTGCAAATTATGTGTAAGAGTATACTTTAGCTAGTCCTTCTCATCACCGACTTTATTAGATAACTCTTATTATAATCCTTCATATATAGAGTTGAGTTCCATAGAGAGAGAGCAAGTCCAATCTATATCTTTCGTGTTATTTGATAACACGCTTACGTACTAGTACACATAACCGTAGGCCCTCTTAGACATCATTGAGTTGCAAAATATGTGTAAGAGTATACTTTAGCTAGTCCTTCTCATCACAGACTTTATTAGATAACTCTTATTATAATCCTTCATATATAGAGTTAAGCTCCATAGAGAGACAGCAAGTCCAATCTATATCTTACATGTTATCAATACACGCTTACATACTAGTACACATAACCGTAGGCACTCTTAGACATCATTGAGTTGCAAAATATGTGTAAGAGTATTCTTTATCTAGTCCTTCTCATCACAGACTGTATTAGATAACTCTTATTATAATCCTCCATATATAGAGCTGAGTTCCATAGAGAGAGAGCAGAAGATTTCCGATGGTACTTCAACAGTACTTCGGCGATATATTTTGGCAATCCTTTTTACACTTCTAATTACAAATATGCAGTTTTAGAGTGTAAATCTGGACTTTTTATAACCGAAATAGGAGTTTTAAGAGTTTTCTCTCTCGATTTCAGCATAAATTTTTAGATTATCTACACCTACAATGGTTTCTTCCTCTCTCAAGCCTTCTCCCATATCATTATAGGTATACCTCCTCATCTCCAATTTCTGGTGGTGTCCGAAGTAAGAAAAAGAAAAAATCCTCCACATAAATTATTGCTAGGATGTAGCTAAGGTACATCATAATTTTAAGGGTAAATTATGTAAATAGTCTCTGTAGTTTATACGATGTATTAATTTGATCCGTATTGTTTCAATTTGCTCGATCTTGTCTCTTAATTTAACAGATTAAGTCATTTCAGTTCAATAAATAACAGTTGTTAAGTTTGGTAGACGGAAAGTCTACACAATGTGTCAATTTAGTCCTGTAGTTTACACAATGTGTCAATTTGGTCACTGTTATTTTAATTTGCTCGATTTTGACAAGGACGAAATTGACACATCGTGTAAACTACAAGGACTAAATTGACATATTGTTTGTCTTTCCGTCCACTAAACTTAACAACCGTTATTTATTAGACTAAAATGACACAATCCATTAAATTAAGGGGCAAAATTGAGCAAATTGAGACAACAAGAATCAAATTAACACATCGTGTAAATTACATGGACTATTTGTATAATTTACCCTTTTACGTTAGATGAGATTTACGAGTATGTCTAACAATTTCAAACAACAACCAATTAATTTTTTTTTTGTTTTGATTGACAAAAAAATAATATTTTATTAATACTAATAAAACATTACCCAGAGAGAACAGCCGGTCAGAAGCCAACTGTCCAAAAAAAAAAACTAACGTCAACTTAAATCATTGGGACCAAACCCAAACAACCAGCAGCTAACCCAAACAACTAGCAACCAATCAAATTTTTAGTTGACCCACATTGAGAAAATACTAACAAATTTGGTATATATATCACACATCACTTTAAAATATTATTCAAAAATCATCACAAACACAATCTATCACAAATCTTTCTCTTAGAATGTCTTACTCATTTATGAATGAGACAGTGTAGTTTGATATGAACTCGTAGTGTGAAATTCAACCACAGTATTAAAGTTCAAGTCAACACTTCAGCCCACAATTGATCAAATACACTTCTTTTTGACTTTCAATGGCTTCCACAATCTTCTCCACCATATTAATTCTTGAACCATCTTGAATAAAGAAGTTCACTTATCAACATCCATAATTACTCAATACTATAAGCTTGCTCTTACTGTGTTTTGGATTGGCTAAAAAACCCCTAATATCCAAGTATTGCTTCGACACATAGATAATCAAAAGAACAATTGCCAAACCCAAAAAGCTAGCTTGCTGATAAGTAAGCAGAAAGGATGGGTACCTTCTTCATGAGCATCAGTACTTAGAGGAGCACTGTGGCCAATAGGAACTGATACTTCTAACTCAGGAGATGGTTTTGCAGAACCCAATGACTGTAGATCAGCATTTGCAGGTACCACCCTTGTGTTACTAGTAGGAACATAGACTCGAGCAGATGCTTTAGCAACCTTACTTACCTTCACCTATATGAAATTCAGTCAAATAAAATGTCACGATAAGTGTCAATACTAAAGGCTGTAAAGGAATTAACTTTGGGTTGGGCATGAACTCCCGATTGAAGCATATGATTTCTTCTGTTCATGAGCGTCAGAAGGATCTGAAGTAACAACTGTATTAGTTTCAATCTGACTTGAATGAGTTGGGGGTTCATCAATAACCTTTTCTCCTAAAACTGATCCTTCCTCGTGACCTGAGGGGTCACAAACTTGTGGGCCATTATTTAGATCCTCTGTCTGGAAGGTTGCAACAGGCTCCAATGGAGGATGATCAGGACTACGAATGGGCTCTGAAACAAAGATAAAAGATATAACCAGATTGATCATGAAGAGAACTTCAGTATCGTAAGTCAAGGAAGCAGAATTAAACCAACCTGGATCTAATGGCAAAGGGGACATTGAAGCATTGTTGTTGTTGATGCCATTATTAACTGTCACGGAATTGATGACCTCCAATGATTCACTTTCCTCGACATACCTTCTTTTTTTTTTTCTTTTTTTTTTTTGGGTGGGCAAGTCATAATTCTCAACATACCTAAAAACATCATTAAGGACAAAGTAGCCTTTCTTTTGTGGAGCTAGAAAGAAAGTCCCTGTAAATTTCTTTCTCACATTGTCCTTCCCAGTTAAGCATCCTGTTACTAAAACAATAACTCCTTTCTTGTAGGATTCCTGAGCATCCACAGTTTTTATCTCTGCCTTGTAGTTTCCGTAATCCAACGATAGAATCTTTTCATTGATTGCCTGATCCATGGCAACAAGAACAGGATTTTGTTTATCAGATAACAGTGATCAACAGTTAAATTTGGAACATTTCATTGAATACTGAGTTAAGAAGGGATAAAAGTTCATATGACTACTTAAATGGTGTTTGATAAAACTAAAAACTGAAAATTAAGTACTGAAAACTAAATGTTGAATTCTTTAAGCTGAAAAATTGTTTGATAAAAATTTAAGTGCTAAGCTAAAACAAATTGCTTGATATGTATAATATTAAATTTGAAAATTATTATTTTTAAACTGTATTTTGTAATTTTATATTGTGATAGTGAGTCGGTGGTAGAGGCAACAATGGTGGTAGAGATAGAGAGATAGTGGTTGTGGTGATGTTGGAGGGGTAATGTAGTGGAGATAAAAAGAGGGCGGCGGTGGCGTGATGACGGTGGTTGTTATGGCAACAGCGACAATGATTGTGGAGCTGAAGAGTTGTAGTAGTTATAGTTGTGGTGGTGGTAATGACAATGGTGACTGTGGTGGTGGTAGTGAAATGATGTTGTTGCTTGTGGAAACAATCACAATGGTGATGAACGTGGTCGTGGAAGGGTGGTGGTGGAGGTAGCGATGATGATGGTGGCAGTTGTGAGGTTATAACGATGTATGTTAACGCTTATGTATAAATATTTATAAATTGAATCAGAATTAAATAAGTTTCCTATATCTTAAAATTTTCTTAATTTTTAGCATATATTTTAAAAGCCACTTAAAATTTTAAGTGATACCATTTGTGATTATCAAATGGGCTTAATTGATTTTCACTTAATTCATTCAACTTGAAGTGTTGAATTGTTATCAAACACCACCTTAGCACACTGAAGGAATATGCGAGACCTTAGTCAACCCAACACCCAAAAGCAAAATAAAATAAGCAAGTTGTTCATCAGCCACTCTTGAACCTACCCAAAAAAAAAAAGTCAAGTGTAATTTCATCTACAAGTTCCCAGTAAAGTATATGAAACTTAGCTACCTGAAAGTAGCAATTAACTCTTTTATTTTTTATATTTTTGGGGGACGGGGAAGCTCCAGACCCAACCCAGTGAAGTATAAGAAAGTTTCTCACAAAGACAATGTTGCTCTTGGCTCTTCAAGATTGTATATTGTACTTTTTTGGTTTAACTGAAATATATGCTACATTTTTCACCCAAGCAAGTTTTAGACCCTGAATCTTCCCGTCAAGGTTTTATTATTATTACTATCTCATCTCTAGGAGTAGTAAATATATTTCTTTTGGTTCCAAATTTGTCTTCCTTTTCTATTGGAGTATTAATATCATCTCTAACACCCTCCTCTGTTGATTACCCTTACTATCCATCTCATGAACACCCTTCGTGTTGGCCACCCAAGGTGATACCAATTCATCCTTCCAGTTACTAAGCATCTCCTCCTCTAGATCACAAGATGTTAACACATCAAATATATCTGATGGGGACAAAAATGAAATGAGAGAGTAGAAACTCTCTTTTCCAACAAATAGTGCACCGCATCCTTACCTTTCCTTTTCTTCACCTCTTCCCATTCACTAGGCCTGATATCTAATTTTTATATAGCCAAAGAGGTAGAACTCAATGGCTTTGGTTTGTAAGTACAAGAAATTGCGGCATGACCAAAAGTATGGCAATCTTCATACTTTTGAGGTCTCCATGTCACCTCCACTCGTGTCTCATAAGCCTTCACCATAACCTAAATTGAACATGAAAGACTTGGGTATATTCGAGATCTTGAGCTTCAACACGCACCTATGCAAATGTAAGCCTACTATGAGATTTAGTGTATTCATCAAGGTACAAAGGCCAAGAAGCATTTCTGACACTGAAAGCATTTCATATTATTTATTAATTTTTATTAGACTTGGTGGGATGCAAATGTCTATCACTCAAAAACACATTAAACACATTACAAGTTTGAATAAAATAAGAGAGAGGATACAATGACAAAAGAAAAATAATGCAGATTTATATCTACTAATCCTTCCTCTAACTACATTCGAGAAATTAATGTTATGCTGCATTTTTTTTCTTATTTTTGAATAATATATTCATATATATGACAATAAATTGATAAAATTATATATTATGAGTGTGTCCCCCACATGTATATTCTATTTTCTATAAAATGCCATTGTTCTTGTAGTGTCCATGTTGTATCACGTGTCTGTGTATGTGATTCTTCTTACAAGGTACACCTATTTGACAAAATGATCTGATTTAAATCATCATTTAGTCATATAACCATCAGCAGGTCAGTACTTGGAGTCCAACATAAAACCCAACACATGCTTCAGTGCTACACAAGATTGATGAACTAACATTTCTGAAGATGAAAATTGACAAGTGTAACAACACAAAGACAACATTTCCAATTTAGAGGGCTGTCCAACAATGGGTCATTGCAAATAGAGAAGATACTTCAGCTTGAAGGCTTCTGGGAGGGGGAAGTTCCAGTTGAAGTATTTATAAAGCATTGTTGGACATTGCCCATTGTTTTCCATTGAAATGCATCTTGAAAATTCCAAGGGAATTTGTTTTTCTTTCCATGTTAGAGCAGATTTGGAGACAATTATTATTATTATTTTTTTATCGGCAAATGTTAGTTGTTAGATTAGCACCTATGGAAAAAAAGCTCCCCACTCTTAGCAAAGTACCTAAATGCTTGCACTCCCTTAATTTAACTCCCTTAAGGGAAATTGAACCCATGACCTCCTTAGAAGTAAGCCCTGAGAAACGTACGGTGGCCAACTAGGCTTGACCGTAAAACTTTTGCTAACCCAAGGAGATTTGAACCCATGACCTCCTCGGGACAATTATAAAAAGTGACAAATTGATGCCTGGGCAAAATGTTCTTCTGACTAGATGTAGCATTCAAAGCAGAGGACATGTTAATTACCTTTGAGTCATTGTATGGTGGGTAGAGAGCTAAGGTGTCTGCGCTATCTCTTTCCAATGGCATGTATTGGATCGTCATAAGATCAGTTTGGAAGGTTCTTAATAGTTACCCTGTACAGAGTAGGAGTAGAGAGTCGTACTTGTGTGTCTCATGTGATTGATTGAACGAAGTCCAATAGACAATCTTTTGAAGATGTTGGCTGACAATTCCTAGTCTAAACTATCTGATGTTGAGTACACATTTTTGGCTTTTTAGAGGATCATTCTGGTTGGTTGCATTCTTTCATTTTCCTTATAAGTAATACATGTTTTCCATATGTGGTAAACTTTTATTTTGCTCTTGTATACATCAGTTTAAATAGGTGGCACCCTTTTTGCTGCCTTGTGGCTTCAAATATTATGGTATGCAAGGGTAACCAAGTAAGTTGATTAAAGGATCATCCTGTAGCTGGTTTTTTGCGCTCCTCAGAGGGGTTTGGTCTCCTTGGATGCGATTCCCTACAATTCAAACTCCCGTAGTTCTGAATCTGGTTTCACAAGTGCAATGTGAAATAGAAACACGAATGAGAGTCCAAATCTGACAAATATTAGAAAATCCATTAATCATTAGAGATGCAAAAAATAGACTGCATCGTCAGATTTTCAGAGTCACCACCTAATATTAACTCGTGACTTGTGCCAAAGGCCACTTGTCCGTCATAACCAAAGTTGTCTCGGTTCGGGAACTTAGGTATGAGAGGAGAAGGTCATGAATTGAGCACGCCACTCACCCGACCAAAGATCGGTCTCTACTAAGTCATGATGTGAATTTTATGGACGTTATATGCTCATGTTCTGATCATTAATAAAACATTACTATGTGGAGCAAATAAGTATAGACCACGTCACTTACTTTGAAATACCTTGATTTCATGCTTTTTTTAAAAGAGTTTTTGAATATGTGCAACTGAAAGGAAAAGCGAGCTCATATGTACAATAATCAAAGTCATTTCAATCTAAGCAAAATAGCCTCCATCCACAGACATTCATAGAGATATTTCAAATAAGCGAGTAGCCTTATGGTAGTATGCTCGACGTGGCAACACAAACACACATGATATGCTAAAGCAAAAATTGCTCACCTAGTACTTAACCGTAGCAAGCCAAAGAAAAAAAGATAGTTAGAAAAAATGCATGATCCTAATATGCAAAGTGGCTAATGCATCACATACCAAAATGTAACTACTAGATTCGGCTACTAACATGACATGTGAATCAACTCAAAGCATGAGGTAGGGCACACAATCAAGTAGGAAATGATAACGACATCAAGTATGATGAGCTGAACCTTAATGTATGCAAAAATAGATACAAAGCATGAGAATGATAAAAGAAAATATGATACTATACAATTAGGAAAATTTACCCATAAGTCCTAGTTTCTGAAAAGTTGAACCATTTAGTCCTAAAAGTTTTCTTATGCTCCATTTAGTCCCATTTGCACATCAATCTAATGTTCGAAACATTAATCTGATGTTTGAAACATTGTAATGGGACCTTTCAGTCTATAAGAAAACTTTTAGGACTAAACAGTGTATAAGTTATTAATTTGGGATTTATTGGTGCATCCCCGGACACGGACACGGACACGGGACACGGCAATTTCTAAAAAATGGGGACACGGACACGGACACGGCAGGGGACACGGCAAATTTTTTAATTTTTTTTATAAATATTTTTATTTTAATATACATTAATTATTTTATTTATTTATTATATTTTTTAAACAATATGTTCCAATTAATTTTTTTTATTTTATTTTATCTACATGTGTTTTTTTATTTATTTTATTAATATGTATAAATATATATTATCTTATAATATGTATTATATATTATATATTATATATTATCTTATACATATATTATATGTTATATAATAACTATTAATAATTATATATTATCTTATACATATATTATATGTTATATAATAACTATTAATATATATAATATATTATCTTTGAGTACTGGTGGTCAACGAAACATTTTAGTCTGAGAGAGAGAGAGAGAGGACAAAAGGGGGGAAAGAAGAAAGGCAGAGGAGAGGGTTAAAAGAAGACGAGAGAGAGAGAGAGAAGAGGCGAGAGAGAGACGAGAGGCGAGCCAGAGATGAGAGAGACTAGAGACGTACCAGGTCAAGAAGTGATGGAAGATCAACTGGAGACAGAGATCGACTGGAGATGGAGATCGAGATAGATCGATCGATCGAGATGGAGATGAATAGGTTCGCATTTCTCTTCTCTCTTTTCTTCTTTTGATTTTGGATTTAACCCTTCTTCTCCTCTTTCTTCGAATTAGGGTTTTCTATTTTGTTCCCCTGCCGTGTCCTCTTGCTATGTGCCGCTGTGTCCCGCCGTGTCCCGCCGTGTCCCATACCAAAAAAATAAATTAATTAAGGGGACACGCTAAATGGCGTGTCCCGTACGTGTCCCCGGCATGTCCCCGTGTCTCGGCGTGTCCCCGTATCCGACACCGCCACGGCTTCCATTTTGGCGTGTCCATGCTTTATAGTGGAAGACATACATCAAGTGTTACAAATTTGCCCTCTTTACAAGAGGGTCCGAATGTCCCAATTAACTAATTATTACAAACATAAACTAATTAACTAATTATTACAAAACACAAATTTCAAAACGACCAAGCTAAAGGAATTGAATGAGAGGCGGGGAATCACATGCGCACAAGCAAGAACATTCTCCGGAAACCCCCTCTGCTTACTGCCAGAAATTGCCTTGTTCCCAGTCAGAAAACAGTTATGTTTTGGACCTCAAGATCTGCTCTATTTTGCTGAAAAACTGCCACTGCCACTGCCACTGCCGTACAAAATGATGGTCGACCGGCCTAATGAATTGGTCGGCCGTACAAGATAGTGGCCGGCCAGCCACTGCTTTTGGAGAAAGACATGTTGCAACAGAATGGGAATAGAGGAAAAACAGAGGGTTTCCAAAGGATGTTCATCCCTTATGTTCCCTCCTCTCGTGAAGATATTCAAGGAGAGAATAGGTTTGCTTCACAAATCATCAAATATCCCAAAAGTATTGAGATGATGATTAATGAAGCAACATAACGAAATTCAATGAATACAAAACTAAGGCAAATTAAGAAGAGGAAGTATTTAAAGAGATGGCTAAAACCTACTATATCTCAAGAAAAATAAGAGTAAGTGAGTACTCAAATTTAGAGAGAATAGGTTTAGAGGAAGCCATTTTTGAAGGTGAAGCTTATTAAAAAAAGATTACAACATTGAAAAAAGCAATTAGAGACTCTTCTTCCTACTCATGGAATATGGATTGAAATCCATTTCCATGCTTTCAAAGGAACTAGAAGAGAGTCTCTAATGCTTCCGATGAAAGAGCTCCCATATGACTTCGAAACTAAATCAAAACAAGACTAAGCAAATGAATGTAGTGTGCTCATCTTCCTACTCATGGAATAAGGATGAGACATCCATTTCCATGCTTCAAAGATGGAACTAGAAGAGAGCTTACAACAACTTTGAAGAAGAGAGAGGGAATCAAGAATCAAGCTATCTACTTAAAGCTTTAAACGCATATATTCAGTTCATATTCACACAAAACTATCTAAAATAGTGCTGAAATTGAAGAAAAAGAGACAAAAGCATGAAGAACACCAAGAGAACATCACTAATGGATAAGCCTATGGAAGGGTGGCTAAGCCTTCCACCTTCAACAAGGTTTAAATCACATTTTAAAGCCTAAAACACTCTGAAAATCAATATTTAAAACAGAGGATGAAAAACGAGAGAATAAAAGAATAGGTAATGAAAAGAGTTCAAAGATCAACCTCTTGAAAAGAGGAAGAGCTTCTTGATTCACAAATTTCAATCCAAACACTCTCAAGTATCTGAAATCAGGCTCAAAGCTTCAACAAAAAGCTTTAAGCTTGAGCTTCAATGGTGTATCTATAGTCAAGAAGGTAGAGAATGCCTTGTATGCCTTTGGAAATGCTTGTTCACAAAGTTTTCTAACCCTAAACTTTGAAGGAAAGTGCTGTATTTGTAAAATTTCAGCTTCTCACCTCGGAAATATCTGCAAAGAGAACAGCTGGCCAAATCCCATGTATGGGAGCAACTTGCTACTGCTGCAAAATATCTGCTTCGTTGAACATGGCAGGCCAACCAAAAGGATGAATGGCCAGCCAAAAAAGGTGGCTTGCCGGTCAACTTTTGGTCTAGCTACTCTTTGGGTGGTCAGGCTAGAAAAAACAGGTTTTGGTCCAAATGCGATGCAAGATTTGAGTTAGAAGCTCAAAACAAAATTCTTTTGCTGAAGATTCGAAAAATTGCACAGCATATCGTTTCATCATTGGGTGTTCAAAATAAAGCACCCAAGTCTGAGAGGCGGTCAAAATGGGATGTCTACACATCCAAAAATACTTTCCTTCCCTACTTGTACAATGTCATAATGTAAATTATTTGTCATGAGATCTAATAATGAACGAAGATATACAACTGAGTACAAGCCATAATTACACTAGACTCACCTTCATGGTTGTCACCAAAGTCATTACACCATTAGAATCGGGCCGGCTTAGGACACTTGAATCTTGATAGAATTTATAAACCAATTCTGGAGATTCATGAAGAATGCGGTAATACTGCGCAACATAGGCATACCGACAACATGTGCACTGGGAAGAGCAGCAGCAGGACTTGCTGCCCGCATTGCCATCTACATGAAATTAAACATCAACATAAAATAAGAAGATATATGTAAATTAAATAGATAGAAAAATATATCTGAAATAAAATTTCAATAAACAAACAAACAATGAAAAAAGGAAAAATGAATTCTGTTTGTAAAATGAATACATTAAAAAACCACTAACAAAAATCAAACAAAATTAGAAGAAGACAGAAAATTGAGAAAAATATCCACTTGTAATTGAAAGGAAAGAAAATTGAATTACAAAAATCCCAAAATCAACAAATTCATAGGAGGAACCAAAAATGAAAAGCACTGTGACTTGAGAACCTTTAGAATAGAAACAAGGATAAATAACTTTGATATGAAAGCTTAGGTACCATAACTACACACAAAAGGGAGGACGAGGAAAGAGAGAAGTGAAAAAAGATGTTACTGCAATGAAACAGACAATCTTGGAAAATGTAAAAACAGATTTAAAAACCCTAGTGGTTTCAAACCTCATATGTAAGAAAGATTATTTTTTTCCCCTATTTGCAAGAAAATCTTAAATCCTTTTCATGCTAATCATTTTTTTTCTTATGAAGGTTGAAGCCCAAAAATGTCCCCCCCCCCCCAAAAAAAAAAAATTTCACTAAAATTTACTCTTTAAAACCAAAAATAAAATAAAAAAACAAAACAAAACAAAAACTATTGAAGCTATAAACACTAACTAAAAAATTATAACTATAATGAAAGTAATAAAAAAATTATGATGAAATTCCATCAGTATATGCCAATGGAAACTCTAGAAATTTTTTAACAGTGAACTGTATGATATAATTTTCATTTTCCGTTTTTAAAAAACAAAAACAATTAAAAGTTCAAAAACACCAATCGATTTCATATTATTTTTAATATATTGTACAAAAATAAGTTTTTGAAATTTAACAAGAAAATAAAAACTTAAAAGATGTAAGGATCGTTGAGAACATGATGGGTAATGTTATATAGAGTTTGTTATTGTCCTCTTTTTGGGCTTCAGTCTCCTCAACCTTTAGACGGATACCATTTTTTTGATTTCTAGAGACTAGGGATTGTAGAGCAACATGTGAGATGTAATTTGTGATATTGTGTTTTTTTTTTTTTTTTTTTTTTTTTTTTTACATGTGACATGTAATTTGTGATATTGTGTTTTTTTTTTTTTGTCTTTTCGTTTTCCTTTTTTGGAGGTCTTGTTGTCCTCTGACTCTCCTGTACTCCCCTTTTTCTCTTTAATGTTATCTCTCTTTGGTTGGTATTCAAAAAATAAATAAATAAATAAATTGCATTTTCAGTGGGTTCGGCTATCAACACTCATCCTTGAGTGGCGTTGCCTCTGTTAATACTATGTGGAAGCATAAGGGGTTTTAGATTGAGTACCACAGACCTAGACAAAAGACACCAACAACATGACACAGAAAAATGTCAACACAGTGGGATTTTAGGCAGGATACCAAAACATGGCTCGAAGAAAATATATGTTAATTAAAAATTCAAGCATATACAGTTTTGACGAATCTATATTTTCTATAATTCTATGTCAAAAATAGCATAAATTGAAGTTTCAAACTAACCAAATATTACGTATGTTATACCCTTTTATCATTTTTTTTTCTTGAAATCTTATTATTTTCCTGTTTTAAAAAAGTTACCATTGCATGCTCGACTTATGCTGGCTATATATCCATATTAAATCTTCATTTCAAGGTGAGAAACTTCGAAGTGTGTTCATCTGTTGATCAAACCAAGTGTCTGTTACTATGAAATTTATTATAAAATTGTGACCACTTTCAAGAAGTGGCAGACACATGTCCACTGTCTAGCATTGTCAACAAGAGTTGCAGTCCAGTTTCCCAAGCTTTCTCTTTAGTGAACAAACAAAGAAGATGAGGATTCAATTAGGTGGAGTTTGGATTGACCATGTGTGCTCTCCTGGTTGTGTCAGAGGTAACATGCCTTTCATAGCTACTTAGCAACTTTTTACCGAGAAATGCTATATGGAAAGGGAGTTGAGCCGTACACGATTGAGTTTATGACAAATCAAAAGTTGACACATTACTTGCCATGTCATTGTGAGTACAATTGTGGGACTTAAATTTGGGATCTCAATGCCACTTACATTTTTAGTACGTAATCAAGAATCCAAGTTAAAGACCAACCATAACTAACAGAACTAGTTCACATAATTTGGTTGAGATATTCAATTTTTAGAAACCAAGACCATGCATATATGGATCAAAATTTTGGATTTTTATCTATTCCTCAATTGTCTAAGCAACCAAACTAGCAAGACTTTGCAAGCATTCATTGTATGTAAGTTTGATTAAGAGTTCATACACAAAATTAGACAAAGCAAAATGTAATGAACTCAAATGCAAAACCAGAAATTCCATGTGACACCAAGCAAACCCAAAATGAATCCAAATCCAAGGTGCAATAAATGTTAATAAGGAAATTTAGCTGTTAAACCTAGATGAATCAATAAAGGCACAAAACCAACAAGCAAACATACATGAGTAGAGCTTCGCTAGCCCAAAAGTTAGACCTACTATTCAAACCAGGTGACCTGATGACAGTCTATTAGAATATCTAAAAGAAGTCTATCTCTCTCTCATGTCTTCTCTAATCATCAACCAATTATCTCTTTTACATATGGGCTTATATATCATTTTCCAACATGTATACCCTGTAAAGGTGTAATAATTGAAACCCTGAAAAAGCTTGAGATCCAATGACAGAATTTCAAAAACAAGAGTTCGAATCAAAAGAACAGGCAAAACCCACAAAAACCCATATCATAAAACTGCTTGATCTGGTCCAAAATCCAATCAAATTAACCATATATGTGATCTCAATAATCAAAACATCAATGTATAAAGCATGAACAACTATGAAATGGAAGTTTCGGATCCACCCACAAGATGGGCACCAAAAAAGGACCCAAAAGTGTCTGGAACTGAGACTGGTTGATTCAATACATGTATATATATAAAACACACATTAAATAGAGTGAAAGATTCTGTGGAGTACCTGTTGGTGAGTGAATTCTGAGTCTTGTAAAAGGGTTTGAGAGAGAGAAAAAGCGATCTGCGAGGTGGGTAGAGAGAGAGAGTAGAGCGAAGAACAGTGAGAGCGCAAGAAGAGAAAGGAAGAGAAGCAAGAAGAGAGGTACAACAGCAGAGGTGCGGATTAGAGACCACTGCCAACAACAAAAAAGAAGAGAATTTTGTTTGTTTTGTGTTTTTTATGTTTTTTTATGTTATGTTTTTATTTTTGAAAACTGTTTTTGAGTTTTTTTTTTTAAATAATATATATATATATATATAGCCTCCGTTTGGGAAGTGGGTTGGCTTTTTGGCTTTTTAGCTTTTTTGGCTATTTTAGCCTGAGCTTAAAAGCTTGGTTTGGGAAGGGCTTTTTGGCTTTTTGACTTTTTTGAGCTTTTTTGTGAGAGATGAATGTAATGATTATGGGTTGGATGTGATGTTTTGTTTGTTATGGCTAAAATAGCCTATTTTGTTTTTTGTGGCTAAAATAGCCAAAAAAGCCCAAGAACCAACTTGCCAAACAGAGGCATATTGTCTTTAGTCATCTTTTTAAATATTTTGATAATTTTTTTATATTTTTTAAATGTACTTAATTTTAATACAAAAAAATTACGAAAATATATTACTTTGTTTTTATTGTTTTCATATTTTTTTATTTAGTTGATTATTTTCAGTTCCTTTACAAATATGTTATTTTAAAGTACATTTAGATTAAATAAATTTTAAAAAAATAATTAAAATATAAACTAAAACAAATAAAAACCAAAAAACAAGAAGGTCAAATCAATTTGAATTATTTTCATATTTTTTTTTTCCACGTTGTACGGGAAAGAAATAAACCTTCTCGTATAATTCTGTTGATTAAGTCTGCGCTCCTCCGTACGTCGTCGCTTTACTCCCTGAAAACACAAACGTGAGCTAGCCGGCGGGTGTGTGCCGGATACCTCTCCGATGCCTAAGTCAGCAAAAATAGACAAATAGACAAAGCTTTGTTATTCGAGAATCAAAGTTTTGTTACCTCTCCAGAGATGATGTTATGAGTTTTTATAGGTTTTGCGTGGCACAATCCTCGTAGGACTCATACTCCTCTATGTAGAGTCCTCCTATGAATCACATTCCTAAAAGATAATACTTATCCTTCAACACTCCCCTCACTGCTTAAACCAAGTGAGATGGTTTTACCTAGGTCAGATGTCAATACGACCGGGATAACGTGGCCATGCTAAAGCCGCAGACTAGACCGAGCTCCATTTAGCTCGGTTCTTCCTTTCGCAGCGTGTATCTCGGTTCGACATGCTCCAACCAAGCTGTTGAGATCATGCTAACCATACTGAGCTAGGACCGAATTAACCCATAGCATGGTTCTGAGGAAGGCTTAACATACTTTGGCTCAATATGGTATGACCGGGCTAACTGTTACCGCACCGACCGTGGTGACCGAGCTAACCACCAAGCTCTTTCAGACCTGGCTAACTGCAAGGCTCCTCTGAACCGGGATAACAATAAGGCGTTCTCAGGACTGAGCTAACTCCAAGCCCCTGTTTGTCTAGCCCTTCTTACTGTGGCCCAATGAACGGCCCATTACTCAGCTCGGCCTAATTTATATATAAATTACCCCCTCACACGTAAAGCCCTTCCTTTTCTCCTTTTGATTTTGAATGTTTGGGACTACTTTGCTACTTTCTTTTATTGGCGAAATATTTCCACCTCTAAGACCCCAAAAAATATTTTAAAAATAAAATGAAAAATTTACCTATAAATATCATTTTGAAGAATGCTAATCTATTTAGTCCTAAAGATTTTTTTATAGACCAATTAGCCCCATTGATTTTGAAAATGTAAATTTAATATATTATTTGAAAATTAGATTTACGATTATACCCTTATTTATATTATGTTTCCTTCTCTTTTTTTTTCCTTTGTGCTAGAAAGGTAAGGTACATAATCTATGAAAATCAAATTTGGGATGAATTTTTGTATGAGAATATTTTTTATTTGGAAAACATTTAAAAATGGGTATAAAAATGACTTTAAATATGAGATTTTTCAAACATGAGAACTTCAAATATTTCAAAAATAGTACAAAAAGGTTCATTTGGGACTTGGGTTGGCTTTCTGGCTTTTTGATTATTTAATCTGGGGCTAAAAAGTCTTGTTTGGGATAAGTTTTTTATTTTTTTGACTTTTGTAAGAAAAATAATGAAATGATTATGGATTGGATATAATGTGTAACGACCCCGCCACGTATAATATTTTACATTTACTTAATTCTTATTCTAATTTAATTGTGGAATTCTCAATAAGGTAAAATTGACTAATTGAATTATTTTAATTTTGAATATCGAATCATATAAAAGTTTAATTAAATATCTGATTCAATTTAATAAATTTAAAATTTTATTAATTAGGTCCGAATTAGAGCTGATTAAGTTATAAAAAAAATAAAATAAATAAATACATAAAATAATAATAATAATAATAATAATAACAAAAAAATAATGTAAATATATGGAATAATATGTCTTATTACCTAAAGATATAATTTAATTTAACTTTGATTTATTAAAAACAAGATGTATGTATTTTATTTAAGGTTAGCACAATAATTAATTGTGCAAATTGCTGGAGAAATGAGAGCCGAGCCGGCTGTGCTGTCTAATACCTAGGGGGTGAGTCATCAATTGAGAGGTATCATTACGGGGTGATTTATCACCCAGGTCATGTATATATAGATAGTGGGGCTTTGTGAAGTAAAGTAAGGAACAAAGGGAAAAAGAAACGAAGAAAAAAAAAAAAGAGAAAAAGAAGCAAGTGAACAGTCTTGAATAGTTGGTAAAAATAAAAAGGAAATAGTAAAAATTAATAATTAGGGGAGTTTTATTATAAAATATTTTACGTATATTTTGAGTTATCATAATTTATTTTATGTAATTTATGTTTTATAAATTATATTAATATTTCAATTACATTAATTATCTTCTAAACTCTATTTGCTTAAAATGAAATACATGTATATGTTTGTTTAAATTTTAGAAATTATTTGACAATCATTTTGTCAACAATTATTTTCTGTAAGTAAGGAGTCCCATGCCTTGGGAGACTTAAATAACCATTGGTTTCTGTTTGGCCACTTTGTGGTCCTCTGTTTGTCATGGATCCATTGACCCCTGTTCTGATTGTCACTCCAATGACCTCTATTCTATTGTTCTATTCTGTACCGTGGTTATGGTTATTTATTTACATAAATTCAATATTTCAGTTTCTGCCACATTGAATAATTTGTTTATTCAAATTAAGTTATGTTAATGTTTTAGTTAAAATAATTATCCATGGTAATTTTTGTACCCCTCATGCTCACTGTATAATATTTTTCACTCTGCCATGTGTTTATACCTGTTAACCACTTTCAGATGACGTGTCAAAACCAATGCATGGGATAGACACAAGATATTTTGTAGTCATAGTATAGCTCGGGTATTGCAATCGAATAGAAGCTCCAAAGTACACATTTTTGTTATTGATAGGTTCTTATTTGTTGTCAATTCCGCGAACAAGCTTGTTTATTTGAGTTGTAATTTGTCCTCTGTTTTAGGTCTTCTTGCTCGAGCGGGAAAAGCTACGCTTGAGCAGAGTTTCATCTTTGCAGTACTTTAGTTCGTCTAAATAAATACTGTGAGGTGTGAGAGCATAAGTTCCTACGCTCAAGCATGAACCTTGGTTTGGAACACGTGTATTAGTGTCTCCGCTCAAGTGGCCATTCTTGCGCTCGAGCGGAGATTGCGTATTCTGCTGCTATAAAACTGCAGTTTGCTTCTATTCTAGGGCACAACCTCCAGATATTCTTTGAGGGTTTTATGGTTTTCTTCTAGGGTTATTTTGCTAGTTGTCTTTGATGTTTGATTGAGTATTATACTCATGGTTTGATGAGTATACATCAAAAAGTTGTTTGATTATTCGACTTCAAGAGAGTTTTTCTTTGGTGGAATCCGAAGATTCAAGCGTGAAGTATTCGAAGGAATTTGATGATGTGTGTAGTCGTTGATTTGACAATGGATGTTGTGGATTCAACATCCATCTGATCAATTCCGAGACAAAGGTTGCGGTGAAAGAGATACAGATTATTGAAGACAAATTGATAGCGTTTGGGTAATTTGTTTGGTATATTTGTGCTCTGTCTTCCTTTTATAGTGGATTGATTTGTAGTGTTTTGCCTGTAGTTTTTTAATCACAATTGGAGGTGCTCAAATTGTGATTTTTCTACGTAAAAATCGTTTGTGTCGATTTATTATTTTTGAAGCGACAATCTAAATCACTTTCATATGTGCTAGATGATTTAGATTGTTAGTTTTAATCATTTGGGAATTAGTACAATTAAATCTTGATCTAATCGTGAATCACTTAGGTTTTTCAATTGGTATCAGAGCGGGTTACTCTTTGTTTTTATCAAAACTATAGGAGTGTGATTTTGTATGATTGGTGATATAGATTCAATTCGCGAAGGTAACTCGACCCATAGACTTCCTTTACTTGATGGTACAAACTATTCTTATTGGAAAGCTCGTATGAGAGAGTTTTTAAAATCTATCGATGAGAAAGTTTGGCATTGTGTGATCTATGGATAGAGTGAACCTGTTGTCACCATTGATGGTGTTGATATCCCCAAACCTCTTGATAAATGAGACGCATTCGACTATCAAAACTCAAGTGGAACAGTAAGGCTCTCAATTTCCTCTTTTGCTCCATCACACCTGAAGAGTTTCGTCGTATTTGTATGTGTAAGGTAGCAAAAGAGGCTTGGGACATTCTTGAAACTATTTATAAGGGTACCACTTCTGTTAAAAGGTCAAATTTCAACATCTCACCTCCTCTTTTGAAACTCTTTTTATACGTGATGATGAGACGTTTGATGATTTTTATGCTAAACTTAGTGACATCGTGAATTCCTACTTTACACTCGGTGAAAAAAATCCCTGAAACTAAGATTGTTGGAAAAATTTTGAGGTCTTTACCCAATAAGTTCCAATCAAAAGTTACAGCTATTGAAGATGCTCAAAATGTTGATACCCTCAAGCTTGATCAGTTGGTTGAAAATTTGCAGACTTATGAAGCCCACCAGATTTCTAAGAAAAAAAAGAGATAGTATGGCTTTTACTAGTGCTAATGAGACTGTTAAGACCCCTGAGATTGGGTT